ATCCAGGGCAGTTGGCATGTTCTTTTCTGCTTTCTTCTTCACTATCGAGTTACTCAGCACCTTGTCGTCTATATACAAACCCCTAATCCACTATCTGTGATGGCGAATGATCGCGGCTTTGCCTTCAAGGGACAGAGAGAAACGTGACGGCGCGACTGTGATTGTCTCGTCATTTCTTCTTTGTTTCTATTTTTGTCCTGCCGTAGCTTTTTGATGTCTTTGTCCGGATACACAGGTTATTCCATATCCTCATCACCAAAGATGAAATCCGCTTTTATCGCTAGCGCGATTTTACGCCAATGGCGCCGATTTGACGCAGCCACGCTTTAGAGCGAAATCGATGAAAACTTGCATAATAGGGTTGAATGAAACCCTAATCACGAAAATGAGGTTGATTTTTTGACATCGGCAAAATTTAGCGCTCTGCTAAAGCTGAGCTTAGGAGAAAGGGTAACTTCTCGCGAAGCTCAGCTTTAGCAGAGCGCACATGATAAGAGCGCATGGCGTCAAAAATGGGCGTGATATTTGTGATCAGAATGTCGGATAACCCCGTATACAAGTTCTCATCTATCCTGATGGGATAGGTGGACGCCTATGGCGCTAGCAATTCTCTGAATCAATATCATTTTCGTGATTAGGGCACTGTGTAAACTCCGTGGTCGATGTTACAAGAAAATTTTTTGAGTTTTTGGAGTAGTAGTAATGGAATAGTGCCGGAGATTGAAGTTTCAGCAGACCTGCGTCGTTTCTACTTTCTACTGACCCTTCTCCGTTTCCGTCTTTCTCCCAATGATAAAATGAGCCGAAAATTTTTTTATTATGCCGATTGCTGCATAACGCCGCAATCTGCTCTCCGGGAGCAGGCAAGCAAACAGCCTGGTGATTCACGGGTTGAAGCACTCGCCCGCAGAAAGAATTGCGTGAGGGATTCAATCCCAACCTTGAGGTGCGATGTCAAGTCCCAGCCGGGGCCAAAAGCGGAATTTCAGTCGCTCACCGGGGGGGGGGGGAGGGCAAACTTTTGACCACTATGAACTACCCATTTTTGAAAACTATCACTGTTTAGGTTGCCCTCAAGCTTGTCGGAGAGGATGGATATGTTATCACCGAGGCTGGTTTCGGTGCAGACATAGGAATGGAAAAATTCTTTAATATCAAATGCAGGTGAGTTTTTCGAAGTTGAATAATTTCGGGAATATTTAGCAGCGCGTCGATAGACGTTACACAACCTTCAAGCGGGTTTTTCCAGGTTTCGGATTACAGCCATCTGCCCGTATTTTAAGTAGCCACCGTTCGCCTTGAAAATGCACGGTGGTCGGTCGCACCAGTAGTAGCTCGGACAGTCCGCTAAAACACAAAAGTCTTGATGAAAACATTAGTGCTAGTTGAAAAGGCTGTGACTCTAACTTGAAGAACAGGTACGTACTCATATCATAAATTTCTGGCTCTATGTCAACTATAAACAACCCCAATTTACGAAAAATAGCTGGACGCACTCGACCTGAAGTGCTTGGCGCCCCGCGCCACAATCGCTGCGGCGCCAGAAAAACCCCCAAAAATCACCGAATGTCGCTGAAAAGTGTCCTCAGGGGTAGTGTTGACGTCATGAACGACGAATATCACACTCACGTTCGATTGAAACAGACGTGGCGGCCGTAGCTAAAATACGCCTATGTCACAAATCCTCCGAAAAGCTTCTATACGGAGGTATTCCGAACATTTTGGATTACAGGATCGTCATATACATTTTTTGCGCTGGGCGCTGTATGGAAAACGCTGCCGACCTATCTGCGCTCGTGCAATGATGACCTGATTGAGGAAATAGCCTTTCCCCAGGCTCAGCCTTAGAAAAGCGCTAAATGGCGCTGGCGTCGGAGAATAAATGTCATATTCGTGATCAAGGCATCAAACAACCCCATTATGCAGTTTTTATCGATAAGAAAGGGTGTGGCGCCAAATCAGCGGCCATTGGGGTCAAATGACGTCAGGGCTGAAAACTAATTCGGTATTCGTGAGCAGGACATCAAATAACCCTACTATGCAAGTTTACCCCGAATCTGGTGAGAAAGGTGGCGGCGCCAAACCGGCGCCAATTTGGCGCCAGCGCCGAAAACAAGTGCAATATTCGTAATCAAGACACCGAATTATTAGGTTGTCCGGAAAAGTCCTCACGTTTTTGCTTGTTCAATTGAACGATCGTAACTTTTTTAATACTCATCGGATTTAATCGAAATAGGCACCATTCGAATCAGCACACTTTTGCCAATGTGACAGCAGTCGAGAAATCCCATCAAATAAAAAAAAAACTGGTGGTCGAAAATTATTGAATCACGAAGGTTTTTGCCTGGTCCTGATTGATGAAGTATTTTCCAGCAAGGGAGTTCTGAAAATGTTAAAAAGGTGATAGTCGGTTGCGAAAGGTCTGAAGAATATGGCGGTTGAGGTAGAACTTCAACCCCCAATTCGTTCAATTTATGGATAGTGATTTGTGAAACGTGTGGGCAGGCGTTGTCATGCAGAAGAGTCGCCCTTTTAATGTTGACAAGTGCTGGCCTTGCAGCTCGATCAAAATTTCGGGTACATTTGCGGTCGATTTCTCACAGTAGGACTGCTGCTGTGATGGTTTGGCCTGGTGATAAAAAGTTATAGTGGATCACACCAGCCGATGACCACCAAGCGTGACCAGAATCTTTTTTGCGTGAGGGTTCGGCTTGAACATTACTTCTCGTGTGGTTTCGTCGAAATCCAACCACTGTCCGGAACGTCTCCTGTTATCATACATGATCCACTTTTCATCACAGGTGACAATTCGGTTCAAAAACGGGTCGTTTCTGTTGCGCAAAAGCAGTGAAGAAGAAACCTCGAGACGTGCCAATTTCTGCCGGTCACTCAATTGTGGGGCACCCATTTGTCGAGTTTTTTTAACCTTCCCAATGCGTTTTCAGACCATCTGCAACAGTGGATTGCCAAGTTCTTAGCTTTTCTGCAATCTCTCGAACTGTTTGGGATGGGTCAGCCTTCCAAAATCCCCTAAAATCCTCGTCAGATATTGCTTTAGGTCGACCGCTATGAGGTTCACCTTCAAGGCTGAAATCTCCAGAATGAAATTTGTTGAGCCATTGCCGCACAGTGCTTTCTCTAGCACTATTGGGCCCCCACACCTGGTTAATTTGTTGAGCTGTTTCGATTGCGGATTGCCCCAATTTATAGTCGAAGAAAAAAAATCGTCCGAAGTGCTCTTTTCACATGCTTGAAAAAAATCTTGAAAAAAAGGGTTTCATCAAGCAGTGGTGAAACGGCAATTATACCATCAGATAGCGCAAGAAATTCTCTACAGGATGTGCTACTGAGAAGCAAGGCAGAATGAGTTTTAATCCAGCAGTGAATGTACAAAAAATAGGTGGCACTAAAACCCTGTAACTTTCCGCTAACCTACACCACTGCGGGCAAAGGTTTCACCAGAAAAATTTTGAGACTTTTTGAAGTAGTGATGAGTTAACGTGCTAAAGTTCTTCTTGTCGTGCTTCAGTATCGGCCTCTTTCAGATTGAGAACGCGAACAAGTTCGGTGTTCCGGTCGTGGTTTGCGTCAACAAATTTGCTACTGACACAGATCGTGAGCTGGAGATGGTTATACAGAAGGTATTATCCTGTATGAATTTCATTCACTGCGTTGCCATTTATTTTATATCTACAGGCGCCTCTGTGTACGGTTGGCTAAAAGAGCGTTCATCGAGTGTGTTTCACTGGTCGCCCAGGGGAGCGGGAAGCGGTTGAAGCTTGCCCGAGTGCAGTCGTGCGATGTCACATCGAAGCCCCCTGCCAAATTTGCGAGTAATGCGGCATCTTTTTGAAGAACAAGTGTCTTACATTTCTTCTCAGTCTGAAGACAAAATATACACTCACTCCGAGGAAGGAGCTTGCAATGTGCGCGGCGAACGGGTCTGCAGCTGCAGTTGCACGCCGCTTTCTCCGCTCAAAGTGCACGGGAGGGAGCTGGAAGGTAGTAGTGTCTGCGTACTCCACCTAAGGTGTGGCACTTGCGTCTACGGGCAAGGTTCCGCAACTAAACACATAGTAGTCAACGGTAGAAAACAAGAGAAGTGAGAAGGGCGCAGAAAGTAACGCGTTTGACTATGGCCAGACGCCCAGCTGGCTATGCAGCGTGAGGCTGTCCGTGGAGTTGGCACCACTATCACTACCCTTTCGTGCTATTTTAGGCGGAGAAAAAGGCATGCTACTGCGGTTGCGGATCCATTCTCCCACAAGTCTCCAGTAAAACTCAGTACAAGCCAACCATACTTCTAAGATGTTCTTTTTCCAGATTCCTTTATCCGTTAAAGATGTCACTTGAAGAAAAAATGGCCAGAATTGCTTGTGAAATATACGGTGCAGATGGAATCGAGCTTTCCAGTGACGCTCGAGAGGTATTCTTTTGAATCTTCACGAAAGGTAGACATAGGAACTGGGACTCGGGAAAAGATGGAAAAGTCGGGAAGCTCATTAACCTCATTATCTTATCGAAGCAACTCCTGGAAGGCGCTGATTTCATCTAAACCGTCAATAATTGCAGAAACTGAAGCGTTACAAAGATCAAGGATTCGGTGATCTGCCTATATGTATGGCCAAAACCCACTTATCACTGTCACACGATCCCACACAAAAAGGAGCACCTACAAGTTAGTCATTCCGTTCATTCTTTCATAATGTTTCTTATTCTTCTTCTTATTCTTTGTCGTTTATCCCGTTCGGTAGTGGGGTCCGCTCTTCTGATATTACGACACTACTTCTCTAGACTATATGCTTGGGCGCGGTGGATGTCAGTGCCAACCCTGGGCAGCGTCCTGCCAAGCCTTCGGGAGGTCCCTCTCTGCGTATGGGCTTGACACAGTCACCGGCGATGTTTCCTGTGGAGAGCTGGAAACTCCTGTAAAGCTATGCATTAGCACAAGCTTCGTTTACACTTGACTTGGGAGTCTACTGGTCTCATCAAGGTGATACGTTTGAGTTAACAAGAATCACTAGAAAAAAACTAGTAACCCCTTCACGGGCGGGGAAAAAAGCCCAATTTTTCTCTTTTGCATTCTCTTGACAACCAATTGATTTTACACGATTATTGCAGATTTCATACTACCGATCCGGGATATCCGTGCATCAGTCGGTGCAGGATTTGTGACGCCGTTGGTTGGTGAGATGATGATGATGCCAGGTCTCAGCACTCGTCCATGCTTCTTTGACATCACCATTGATCCCGACACAGAACTGATTGATGGACTATTTTAACACGCCAAAATCGAAGTTCTGTTTGGTCAGACCGCTCATCATTCTTCAGTCTTTATTAAGCTCATCATCGACAAATAAGATTTCACTGTGGCGTACAATGGCGGAGAAAGTGGTGCTATTTGGTGGACATGCTGTTTACACTCCCTGGGATTGATGAGAACCTTATGATACGCAGTCTTGTTCGCTGCAGACGCTGGGCTATCTTAAGAAGGCTAGCGCAGTTCCGAACCCAGCCCACACCCCAGCGTCCGCAGCGAAAAAGGCTAGGTTCACCACGTAGGTACACTAATAATGATAATTTTTCGTTCTGAGGCTAAAGGAGCAATTTATCGCAACCAGGACCTTTCCTACATTGTACCCACCATTTGAGCTACTTTCTAACAGATCGTGAAGCTAGGGCCATACACATACAGTGAGTCAGTATTATTCTTAGTCTCAACAAGAAAGCTCGTTCTCATCGCTGACCGAGAGGATTATGCAGAATTGTGGTCCCTGAACCACCCCCCCCTCTCCTTCAAGGCGATTAGCGCCTAGAACTGTGTTACCATGTGTCTTAAGAGTGTTCTGATCATGGCGATTTGTATTATAGCTGCTCCCGGCAAAGTTCTCAGCGTTTTGGGTGTTTCACTTTAAACGATCGTAACTTTTTCGGGTAATACCTCATCGGAATTCAGTCGAATACCGAGCACGCAGTTCCGAACAGCAACACCCTCTCGCCCCACACATCATCGAAACCAGCCGGCATCCCATCAAAGAAAAAAACTGGGTGGTCGAGAATCTAACGAAATCCACGAAGGCTTTTTGCCTGGTCCTGATTGATGAAGTATTTTCCAGCAAGGGAGTTCTGAAAATGTTTGAAAAGGTGATAGTCGGTTGGTGAAAGGTCTGGAGAATATGGCGGGTGAGGTAGAACTTCAACCTCCAATTCGTTCAATTTATGGATAGTGATTTGTGAAACGTGTGGGCGGGCGTTGTCATGCAAAGGAATCGGACCCTTTCTTTTGATAAGTGTTGGCTGCATCTGACAAAATTTTCGGTACAATTCGTCGATTTCTTCACAGTAGGGTTCTGCTGTGATGGTTTGGCCTGGTGATTAAAAAAGTTATAGTGGATCACACCAGCCGATGACCACCAAGCCGTGACCAGAATCTTTTTTTCGTGAGGGTTCGGCTTTGAAAAATTACCTCGGTGGTTCGTCGAAATCCAACCAGCGCCCGCCGGAACGTCTCTAATTCATCATACATGGGACCCAGTCTTGTCATACACAGGTGAAATTCAGGCCCAAAACAGGTCGTTTTGTGCACGAAAAGCCAATGCCACAAGGTCGGCAAGAGTGTGGAAGCGGAACCTGAGGAGTGTCGGGAGGTTTCTCGGCCGGTCACTCCGATTGTGGGGCACCCAATTGTCGAGTTTTTCACCTTCCCAGATGCGTTCCAGACCATCTGCAACAGTGGATTTGCTAAGGCCTAGCTTTTCTGCTATCTTCTCGAACTGTTTGGGATGGGTCAGCTCGTTTTACTGCCAAAAATCCCCTAAAATCCTCGTCAGATATTGCTTGTTAGGGGTCCGACGCGACGTATGAAGGTTCGTCTTCAGAGCTGAAATCTCCAGAATGAAAATTTGTTGGAGACCAGTTGTCGCACGCGTGCTTTTCGTCGAGGACACTATTGGCCCCACACTGCTGGTTAATTTGGTTTGGCTCGTCTCGACTGGCGGATGGGTGACGCCTTTTTGCAGATTGAAGAACCAATATGGTCCGAAAGTGCTTCTTTTCACATGCTTGGAAAAAATCTTGAAAAAAGAGGGTTTATCAAGCAATGGTGAAACGGCAATTATACCATCAGATAGCGCAAGAAATTCTCTACAGGATGTGCTACTGAGAAGCAAGGCAGAATGAGTTTTTAATCAGCAGTGAATGTACAAAAAATAGGTGCACCGAAAACGCTGAGAGAACTTTCGCGGCAACGTAATATGAGAAATATAGCTGCCACTACTATCAGGCAAATGATGAAACATGGAACAGTGTTTTTGTTTACTGTTTGTTGTTCGATGTAAAAATTTTTCGTCACCGTCAACAGACATAAACAAAACAATTTTATAGTATAGCTTATGTACAAAAATGAAACCACTATATTGCCATCTAAGTGAAGCGTTTTTGTCAGGAAACATTGACTGGGACTGTAATAGCATAAACGCTTGCTTTTGAAGCGGTCGCCTTCGTCTTTTTGTCCTGACCCCGTCGTTCAAGTCGGAGAGTTCAACGTTCCACGTAGCGTGGGCGGGTTGTGACAGCCAAAACAATCGGGAGAAGCACCAGAGCATGGAAGACTCCTGAGATTGACAAATAAGGAGGATAATCTTCGGGATAAGCTCAAATTTCTGGCAGAAACTGACCTATGACGAGCACTAGGAAGATGGTTTTGAAGAACACAAGTACCATGTACGAGTTAATGAAGGCCAGCAGCTGGTGTCCCAAGAATTGTCGACATACTGCCATGTACTACTGCAATAGAAGGATAAAGGATAAAGTCTTCGCCGCTTGATCAATCCCTTTGTGGGATGCGCCACGCATTCTACTTCCCTTCAGAATCGTAGTGGCTTATTGAATGCGATGTGGCCGATGTACAAGTCAGTGTTTTCCTCCCACATGAATCTGGTACGCGATTTACCGTCCAGGAGGGAAGAGGGTGTGGTTGACTAGGGCGGGAGTCGAGCCCTGGATTTGAACGCCAATGGTGGTGAGCGGCTCACAGTCCCTCGCCCACTTGCCCCACTACACACCTCCTCCCGGCCCGCCCCCCCGCGGTGCGATAGAACACTCTAATCTGTACGCTTGCTCTGAGTCTGTTTATTGAAGTTCCAATGGGCCTTATCTGCACAAATCTGTGACATAATAAGCGCCCGCGAGTTAAATCACTTAGGCGCCCTTCTGCGCTGGTGGTCCGAGTGGAGACATGAACTTTGTTGCTCTCGCTCCCCTCAATAGGGTAGGAGGGAGGGGCGGGGGGGGGGGTGGGTAGGTAGGCATGGGGGCACTGTTAACTTATTAGTTTCTGGATCAAACTTTGTCTCCAGGCGAACAAGGCAGGTAGTCTGACCCTCCTCCCTGAACATGATTGTTATGCGCAATCGGGCCCCCCCCCCGACCCCTTGGGCAGCGACAACAATCGCTGGCTGCCAAGCGCTACAGCAACTCGTTTGGAGGCAAGCGGCTTGTGTCTGGCAGACTTTTTGTACGCAAGTGGAAACGACAGCAAATGATGAGACGAAACCGTTTATCTTTCTGTTGTCCCACAGCAAGTTATACTTGTTAGATGTCAACCCGGAAGTCACGCTACCTGCGATAGTTTGGCGGAGCCCACCGCTCCGCAAAGCGACGCATAAAACCTTTCGCTTCGCGAGCAAGTCACTGTAGTCGGCGCAGGTAGCTGTGGGGCTGTTGGTCGCCGCAAAGCAGTGACACGGGCCCGCGTTCCTCCCATTAAACGCAATTTACGCTGCTACCGTTCGCCGCTCTACCCAGAAATAATAAAAGATGACCCTCCAAAGAGCATAAGCACGAGTATTGTTGTCAATAAAAAAAATTAGCAAGGATCAGTTGCGGCGAGCATATCGACAAGAACACAGACTCTGTCCTGTGATCTCGTCCGGTCACACCCTCATTTTGCAATATCGTATACTATTAATTTTGGAAAGAGATCTTATGTATGTGGAGCGTATTCGATTGTTTCTTTTTCGTTTTTTTCCTTACCGTTGAACTCTTCGCTTTTCTGTTTTCAACCCCCCCCCTCTAAATCACATTACTAAGTCGCAAGCTCTACCTTACTCGATAGCCAGGGGTATCTTATAAGAAAGTGAGAAATGGTCGAACTAACCTGGCCACGCAAGCTTTTCCATCGCTATTATACAATCTCTTTTTGGTGATAAGTTCTCCTCATTGCTGACGAAACCATGTGTGACGTGAGCTGCAAATATTGCATTAGACAACGAACTACGGGGATAGCCAACTTACAAGTCACTATTTCTACCTCCTTGAGGCGAGCCTCGTACCCTTCACCCGATACCCGTGAGATGGAAGACAGTGTTGGTTCGGGTGAATACAGATTTGGGCCGTGTGAGTGTGGTAAGCTTGCCACGGAACCACCAATCAACTGTGCGCACGATGACCAACCCCAAAACGGTGGCAAGCATATCTCCATTTGATTTTTAGAATCTCATTCACAGCTTGTACTGTCAGTTTTCTGCTTATGCCTGCACTCTCTCGTCTACACGGCATTCCATGACGGCTATGATCTAACATTTCGTACCTCTTGTTGAGCTGCTCTCAAGCAGAACGGCACACCCAGAATCCTGCCTCAAGTACGACCCTCCTCTCCCAACCTACCTACAACCTCACCGCTTTGCCGAAAGATTGCTGTCTAGCGAGAGAAGGTGAACACCTCCGATCAATAGGAGACAGTACTTACGCCGCGGAACCGCACCGCCAACAAGAGGGTACAGAAACGGAAAATGCAACTGTCGAAAAAAATCGCTCAGCACCGAACGCGACCCTCTCCCCACTGAACAAATTCAACTCCCTGGGTTCCGCACAACGATACTGTACTCTGTTTCCCTACTCTCACGCTTTAACAGCGTCTGGGCTCTTTCTGTCCGGGCTACAGTTTTCGTAACAGGATCGCGCAAGAAAAGTCCAAAGAGTCACGGTCGCGAGAACTGTCCCAAAGCAAAGTGCTTTGAGCCTACGAAGGAGTTATGTAAAGAGTACTGTAGCTGAGAGGTTGGAAAGGGATGGTCCGCAAGCATTTGCCTTAAAGAATGAATGACATAGTGATTTGTTGAGTCGTGCTGTCGTGTTTGCTGGATTATTGCCAAAGCTATAGCAAACATATCAAACATTATCTGCCTAAGTAAAGTTAGGAGGCGGTACTCATCAATGAGTGGGCCTAATCGGTGCCCTAACACGAAACTTTCTCCTGTAGGATTGGTCATGATGAATTTTGTACAAAGGGTGGTTTCTTACCTGAAAATTCGATAGAGAAGCCAATACTCAATATGATAGTAATCATGAAAATA